AATTCGGACCTCTCNTCGTCTTCGTATCTATTACGGTTTAGAATATAGCAATGGTACTACATGATGAAAAAAACGGCCTGTATATTAACAATAATATATACAATCATGATAAATTTACTTATACTATTATTCGTTCTGTGAGCTACGTCTACGCATTCTTTTTTTTTAAACGACTCCATTTTTGGAATAAATGGAGTCGATAATGTCTTCTTATAACCGTTGTTGATCGTTGAAACATTGTTTGATCAGACTCAGCTCTCTCTGGAAATTACTCTCAGACAGTGGAATATTCAATAGTCTGTGAAGCAACATGTTAGGCATTTGAATTCAAAAAAATTATGCTTGGAATTGTACAATTGAATTCAAATAATTTATACTCACTACGTTATTCATTACAATATTTTTATATGCATTTGCATTTTATATGCATCTTGTTCATTACGTATACCTTATCTTGAATTCTAATCACTTATCAATTAGTTTTATTCTGATGGCATTTTTTTACCACTAGATTCGAAAAACCTTTCCGATTCTAGTGGATCTTCGAAATCTTCAAGACTATCATCGTCTCCAGTATTTTTTCCAGTCTGCATTCGTTTTTCATCTACAATGAATCTTTTTCCTGAAGTACGAAAAATCACTTACTAGCAGCGCTAGTAGTTCGGTAGGGACAAACACTGCTTAATCTTCATATAAACATATGGTAAAGTACAATTGAAAAATAATGTTTTTAAGAGAAGAAAATGTTCCTGGGGCAAAACTAAAATTTGCAACTGTAAAGGTTACCAATGTTGTAACATTAAAACGTTGGCTTGCATGCCGTAATTTAAAAGTAACTGGAAAAAAGTGAAATAATAGACAGGTTAGTATACAGACTCTAGAAAACGAGTAGCGGTAGATTCAAACTGTAATAAAAGAAATTTAAAATGATTATGAATTTCAGATTCATTTCCGAGTGAAATATGAATCAAATATAGATGGTAATGAAATANAGCACAGATATACTCATGATTTCCTACTTTTCTCTTGTCCATAGCCACCTGACTTATGGAATTTTACTTTGGGGTAACTCTATCCATACTTCCAGGATTTTTGTGATGCAGAAACGTGCGGTCAGAATCATTGTAGGATTGGGTCCTAGAGATTCATGCAAATCTCATTTTATAAGATTAGGAATTATGACAGTTCCCTCTATATTTATATTTCAATGTTTATTAGAGATCCATAAAAATTGCCACACTTTTTCCACAAATAGTTCAAACCATAATTATAACACTAGGCATGGCGATTCTCTATTGAATAGGAGGTTTAGACTAGGAATATCAAAAAAAAATTCGCTCGATTTGGATATATATAATAAACTACCAGCGGAAATTAAGAAACTAGGACCAGCAAACTTTAAAGCGACAATAAAAAATTTATTAATACAAAACTGTTTTTATTCGATTGACGAATATATGAGTACGCCAACTACTGAACTTTTGAAATGACTTGTATATTTTTTAAGTATTAGTTTTAGTTGTTTTACGACAGTGTATGTTTCTATATACATGTATATATGTGTGTATATGTGTATGTATATGTGTATATATGTGTGTGTGGGTATATTTATATGAATTTTTCAAGAACACGAGTGTGAATATGTTCCTATTTGACTTGCTACAAATATTTCATGTATATAACGTAGCCAATAAATATCTATCTATCTATCTATCTATCTATCTAATGAAATAACCTTGTTTTTCTTTCTTTTTCTGTCAAATACAGATGTTGTTTCGCAAACAGAAAAACAATGCAGAAATGCAACGATATTTTTGAAGGATTCCAATTTGAAACTATTGGACATGAAAAATAGATCCTTTACATTTCCAGAATCCGGCTTGAGAAAATGCATGTCATGACTATTTGTATTCGATTGATTCAAATCAAAGTACCAAAAAATCAATATCTTTACCCACAACTATGGCAGTTTTATTAGTATCTCTGCCAATTTATATCGAGGTCTTAATAATAAAGTGAACAAACTGCTTGTTTACAGAAAATGTGCAATAGTAATGTATATTCTTTACACCATCAGAAACTATAGATTTTCACTAACAATAACACAGCGATTTTTTGAAAAAAACAGATATTTTGACGTGACAATTTTGATTAAAAATTAGGGTGCTTTTTTGATATTGAATCAAAATAAGGGGATAATGAATATTTCAAATCCAAAAATCACAGTGTGTTTGGATTATATAAAGGTAAGTTTTTACCAAATTTGGTGAAGAAAAAACATTTTTGTAGAATATAAAAGTAAAAAACCAAAAAAACATTTGTTCGAATTTTTTGCATAAATTTTCAGGTTATATGAAGAAAGTGTGTATACAAAAGTTGTGAATCTTTTCATTACCAACAACTTTGCCATTCAACTTTTTTCCATAGGACTTGTAGTTTTGCCAGGAATCGCTTCCCGACTTCAGATCGCTCATAAATTATTTTTCCTTTTATTTTTATGATATTTTCTTCCCCTTTCAATGAGTTTCATTTATCTTACTATTATTTTCTTTCACTTTTTATCCAATAATGGATTTATTGTTATGGTTCAATTGTTAATTATAAATTTTGATTCGAGCAAAATGAAAGCATAAGAATGACTCTTATGAATAACTGAGGTAGCCTAAATTGTTTCGTGTAGTATATAAAGCCCAAGTTGAGAAAAGTAATATTTAACGTATAAGCTTAGAGGTTTCACATGAGATACTCCCCCCTATGCCCCTCGCAAGCTGAGTGCCCTGAGTTGAAATCTTCCCCACACGGTTAATGTGTGCAGAACATCCTATCTCCCCCGCTCCTCCGGAGCGGTCCTCAACTTACTGATGGGCACTTCAGCAAGATTGACATCTGACCTTCTTTGGTCGAAAGTCAGCCTCTAGGTGCTTTTACTTTCTGATCTGTTGAATTGTTTTATCATGACTCTCCTAACTGAATTATTTGCATGGGGTCCCCAAAAACTAACCGGAGACGAGTGTCTTTTTAATCGCGAGCTAGTGTTGTTTCTTGGTGAATCTGAAAAAGAGATTAATTTGAAACTGGTTGGGAAATTTTTATACTTACCGGAACCGTCTGACAGCGACTCTCGGGGGTGGTCTTTGGTTCTGCTTCGTTGGCCTCCTGTGTTTGTCCCTATCTCGGAATCTGGGGTCATCCCTGTTTAGTGCGTTATGTAAGTCGTTTTGCGCTGGGTTGTTGTGCGCTCGAATTCTGTCGAACGTGTCCTCTGCGTGTTTCCTCATGTATGCGTCTACGTAGTGTACGTTCAGGTCTAGATCCCGGAATATGTATCTATTCGGTAGATATCTTGGAGTGTTTACGGCTCGGCAGCCCTCACGCACTTAGATGAAATATTGAATATAATTTGTTCTCCTGAAAGTTCATTGTCAAAAATATCTTAACAGGTTCTTAACAGCTAGGTTGGAACATACGTAGATATAAAAAATATTCCATTGAATAAACTATCGGCATGGGGTAAAAAACAGTTCAGAAACTGTCCTTTTCAATATGTCCTATATAAGAAACATATAAATCGAAAAGAATTATTTCAATTGAAGGGGTTATACTTTTAGGAGTGATTAATTTTTGGGAAAGAAAGTTTTTGGCTTTCTACTACTCCATCTTGATAAAAAATGTGGGAATCTTACAAAGAAAGGAAGGAAGTAATCAATTTGAAAATAAGTAACTCTATACGTGGATGTGTGGATCATGCAAAGAAGCAACTTTCAGATACAAACTGGAAGAAAGCCCTCCTGAAACAGCTACTTTCATATAAACATTGAATTACACGAGAGAAAAAAATTCTTTCGAAACAAATACTTTTATATGAACACTGAATTATTCATAACGAATGTTTAGTATATAATCTGAGTAGAGAAAAGTATGAATGGTAACAAATTGCACTTACATGGAACACTGCCATCCTCACTGGTAGACACTGATGTTTCACCGTAAGACACTTGCCTTAGTACCAATCTGGATAACATTATAGAAAATACACACAATTCATTCATGAATTACGATTTTTTATATCACGAAATAAGTTTGATCCACTTATGTCATCGATGACATCGTAATGACATTCATTCACCTATTTGATTAAATCCTAGCCAAGAAGAATCTTATTTGAATTAAAGGGGTTATATTTTTAGTAGTGATTAAATTTTGGGAAACAAAGTTTTTGGCTTTCTACTACTCCATCTGTTTGAATATTGATTGATTCTGGCTTGAGCAAAAATATTTCTTGAGATTATTTTGGAATTTGGATGAGGTAAAGCATAACTCCTTTTTTTTACTCATAGGAATAACTGAGAGAGGAAAGTTTTATTGACATTGACATTTTTAGAGACAAAAAAATGACAGTAGTATATGACAAGCATATGACATCATATAGTATGACAACCATATAGGACACAACTTATATTTTATGTTTTCTTAAAAAAGGTAGACACTGTTTAACTTTCAACACCATCTTGATGAAATAATGTGGGAATCTTCCAAAGAAAGGAAGGAAGGAATCAATTTGAAAATGAGTTACTATACATGGATGTGTAGATCATGCAAAGAAGTAACTTTCAGACACAAACTGGAAGAAAGCCCTCCTGAAACAGCTACTTTCATATAAACATTGAATTACACGAAAAAAAAAATAATTCTTTCGAAACAAATACTTTTATATGAACACTGAATTATTCATAACGAATGTTTAGAATAGAATCTGAGTAGAGAAAAGTATCAAGATGGAGTAGTAGAAAGCCAAAAACTTTCTTTCCCAAGAATTATTTTCCTTCGTGAATTGTATATTAATAGCAGTTTGCAGAAGTATCAGGTCGAAATGTCTTATCAAACCTAATATAAGGAAACATTTATTGTTACACTCAGATACAATTGCGGTTTTGTGCTCAATAATTTAAACTTCCGGTACGTTTACATCTAATTAAAACAATTGTGATAATTTCAGTTCGGTGGGAAAAGCGCGAAGAGTTGAAAGCGTTAATAAACGTGATAAGTATAACCAGTGGATCTACCCCACACTGGGTGAGAATGACACCATGTTTTTTATTGGATAGTTGTTGAATTAGTTTTATTTTATTGTTGGATGTCTTTGGTAACATCACAAAAAACTCTTGAATTTTGATTTGTATGATGCCTTACCTGACAATGTTAAAACTATGAACATGTTTTGTTTCAAAACAATTACCAAAAATGTTTCATAGCTTCTTTACAGTTTCAGAGTATTTATTTTAAGTTCGAAGTTTTACTTTTGCATAGCATGGGTTATATGCCTTGCATATCCAACCTCAGATATATGGTTTTTATTTTTTTGTGTGTTTATATACAAATACTGATCTTACTTATTAACATTCTACACCGTTTTGACGTTCTATAAATGTTTTTTGCATAATACAGTCAATAAAATATCTATATATCTATATCCACTGAATCCTCAAGTTTGAAATCTGTTTGTAAAAAAATTTAATTCAGTTGTTTTTGCGCTCCTAAAATATAGTGTGTATCTAAAAATGATTGGCGAAATGAAACAGTTTTTTGAGGATAAAACACAGGCACTACAGGGAAATCCTTAAGGCGCTCTAAGAGCGGTGCTTGTGCGAAAGTAATGATTCACATTGGATTTGAATCGCTGAAGATTAAATCCATTTGCAAAAACGTTCTGCAAATGAGAGTTCTTAAACAGTGAAGTTGGAGGTGTACTGAGCTGAACATCAAAACGATGAGCAGCCACAACTGCAAATGGGTTATTGACGATATTACGAGGTCCAGCATAAGATTAAAGGACATGTTTGTGCTTAAAAGTCAACATCCTATACTGAATGATTTCTACAAAGCAGAAAGGAAAAAGCACGAAATCTTAGTACATAACTCAAGAAAACATTACTTTCAGCATAAAATAAATAATTCAGACAACCCTACTAAGGCAGCATGGAGAGTGTAGTGAATGAATTAACTAATACATCGCGCAAGCAATCAATCTCCTCCATAAAATATGAAAATAAAATATTCGGGTCTCCTGAGGAAATCTCTGGGATATTCAGCAATTTTTTCAAAGAAGAACCACTAAAATTAATTTCACAAATTGAATCGCTTGATGAAAATATAGCTAATCAATATTTGAATAATATTGAAATACAGTCTAGTTCTTTTCTCCTCCTTCCGTTTAATGAACATGAACTATTTGTCATGCTCAACGGAGAACTGAAAAATAAATTTTCCTCTGAATCGGATGAAATACCACATGTGATCGTTAAACGTGTTCTCAAACATCTTATGACACCACTAGTCTATCTCATGAGTTTATCATTTGCAAATGGAACATTCCCGCAAGCTTTGAAAACTGGTAAAATTACACCCGTATATAAAAAAAGTGATTTCTCCCTAATAAGTAACTGTCGACCAATTACGGTACCCTCCATCTTTTCCAAAATATTTGAATTATCATTCTTGGAGAGATTGTTATCTTATCTCAAGCATTTCAATATCATAACTGCGGATCAACATGGTTTTGTGCAAAATCAATCGACCACAATTGCAATACACTCATATGTTCTTGAAGTCATTAAATGCATTGATGCGGGTGAGTGCCCTATTGGGGTATTTTGCGACCTAAGCAGGGCGTTCGATACGGTATCCGAGGTGTCACTCATGAATGGATTAAAAGTTTTTTGAGTAAACGTAATAATCGGGTCACTATTGGTAACCATATGTCGTGCAATGATTAATCTGAAGTAGGTGTTCCTCAGAGTTCGTTCTTAGGACCTACCTTATTTATACTTTACATCAACGCTATTGTGAAGATATGTGATAGCTCAATTATTGTTTACGCTGATGATACATCAGTTATTGTATCAGATGGGGATGAATATTGTATACGTCAGAAATGTAAAAAAATCCTTTGATATGGTTCAGTGGTTTAGAGCCAACTCACTTCATCTGAATACAAATGAAACAAAATGTATACGCTTTCACAATAGACAAAAAGGAGCTAGTGCAGTTGATTTCGGAGACTTACAGTCAGTTGATAAGACCGTCCGATTTCTTGGATTATATATAGACGAACATATTTCCTGGGGAGAACACTGTAAAATCTTAATCAATGAATTGAATTCTTTTTTCTATCAATTACGTAATTTGAGATCAGTTCTATCTAATGATCAGTTGCTGATGCTCTACTATGCTCAAGTAGACTCCAGACTTCGATATGCCATCTCCCTCTGGGGAAGGTCTTCGATTTATTTGCTGCACAAAAGAGAATACTGTTGTGATGTTTAGTCTATTCTCTCGATGATGAATTGAAAACATGTGAAATCATGACGCTACCATCACTCCTTATCTATGAAGTTTGTGTGTATATATTTATTAACTATAAGTTTTTCAACCAGATCTAGCATTCATAAACATGATAAAAGAATAAAAAAAATCAGCTGAATATACCCCTTTTCTAGGGTCCAATTATTTAAAAACTCTCCAAACTCACTAGGTCCTTTATTATTTAATAAATTACCAGGCTATCTAAGAGAGAGTCGAATCTTAACATGTTTTAAAAATGTCTTAAACATTTAAAGATGCTATTATAAAGTCGATCAGGTACTATAATAAGTATTAGTAAATCCTTTATGATTTGTCTGTTATTTGTGTATTTGGGTGAATATATGTATATATGTGTATAAGTGTATATATGTATATATGTCTGTATATGTATATATGTGTTACACAATTAACTGAGTATGTACTATCATATTATTATTTTGTTTTAATGTTCACTTTTACTGTTTACCATTACTATAGATGAACGACTATAATACCTGCAAATTTACTGTTTTGTTACATACAATTTAATTGAATGTTCTGGTAATTTTAGATAAACGACTACTCATATACAATACTTGTATTGTCCTTCTGGAGAATACAGAATTATTATTATTATTATTATGTCCATCGCGTATTTCTGATATGTACCGCTCTTGGTAGAGTCAAGTGTGCCAAGTCCCTCAAACACTTCTCGTGAAGGTATTGTTGTAAATCATGCCCGAGAGAAAATAACGCCGGCCGCCACTGGTAACCATAAACGTACGATGATTCCCCTCCACTCTAGAAGCAGCGATTATAATGCTACCGAACTTCGGTGAAATTTCTACGGCATTCGATTACGATATTTAAAGGCTAGCCACGAGGATATCGTCAAGTGGACTTTACAGTGCGGTATGCGAAGTGATTTAGTAAGGCGATAGGCATTCAAATAATAGTTGAAGTTTAGTTGAAGTGTTTGTTGTATTTGAAGTGAAATAAAGTTAATTTTAATTATTCAGTGTAGTCGATTATTGGTCAACCCACGGGAGAAAACGTAACATTTGGTGTCGGAGGTGGAATAATTGACTGAAAATTCATTGTTTTATGATGAAAACAACGAGTGTCAATTACGATGAACTTGAGAAAATGTTCAAGGCTTTGAAATCGGGCCTGGCGGAGATTGAAAATTGCGGAAGAGAAGAATATGTACACAGAAGAGAGAAAGATGAATGTCGGAGAGAGGAAGAACGATTACGCCGAAATGAAGACCGTGAATAACTTTTAAATATTCTGAAAAAACAAGAAAGAAACAGTGAGGATTATTGTAAGACCGTGAATAACTTCTAAATATTCTGAAAAAACAAGAAAGAAACAGTAAGGATTATTGTAAATTATTGGTAAATATTCGAAAGAAAAAAGAAAAAGACAATAAGATGTGCCTTCATTTATTTGAAGATTTTTAATCTTCTCAAGTGAGTGAAGGGGAGGTACAGGAATTGATTCAGGAAGAATTTGAAAAAGTATTCAGTATAGTCGATGAGAAGTTTGATAGGGGTGAAGGGAAACTTGAAGAGGAACTTGAAGAGGAGCTTGAAGGAGTCGGAAGGAAATTTGAAAAGAAGCTTGAAGTATTCGAGAAAAATTTGAAATTGTTTTCCGAAAACTTCGGAAAGGAAAAAGTCACGAAAACGCAGATAGCCTCTCAAGAAGACCATGCCTGACATCCGGATGCAAATTTTCCCAACGCTAAGAGGACAAGGATACCCAGCTACAAGAAGAACTTCCCACCAGACGTGATAAGGTAGCGAACAGAGACTCCTTTATGGACATCTCCGATAGAGAGATAAGCTCCCTTACCTCCCGCCGCTTCGGGTTCCCTCTGATGCGTAGGGTAGCAACCTGTAAGGGTCCCTTGTCCAGGGATATGGACAGCCAATTTGAGGAATCACCTGACCATGGTGTGGTACGGTCGTTAACAGCCTCTGAGGGTGACACCACCTTCCTGACGAGGCAAGACATCATCGTAGCGCAGAAGGAGGATCATGTCTTGAAAACTGTACGAGAATGAATTTCCAAAGGAGGAAGTTCGGAATGGCAAGGATAACTGGCTCCAGTGGGAATCCATGAGCATCCGAGATGACCTACTCACTTGGAAATGTGAAAGCCCAGATGGAAGAACCCACAAATTCCAGATGATCCTTCCTGAAACGTGTATCCCGAGTATCCTCGAACAGCTTCACGATGGTCGTACTGAAGGGCATTTCGGAGTAAATAGAACTCTAGTGAGAGTGCGTGAGAGGTACTATTGGATCCAGTGCCGTCGAAATGTGAAAGAGTGGTGTTAGCGCTGTGCTCTTCGAGAAAGGGTCCGAAGATAAGGCAGAGAGGAAAGTTGAAGTGGTACCTCAGTGACATTTTGGGACCACTCCCTATGACCACATCCGGTAACAAGTAGCTTATGGATTACTTTATGGATTACTGGATATGGATGAATTACTTTTCCGAATGGCCTGAAGTTGTAGCCTCATCCAACCAAGAGGCTATTACGGTGGCAGAAGCCATGTTGCAAAACGTAATTGCCAGATACGGATTTATGGAAGGAAATGATGACTCTGTTGGTAATAACGAAGACAAGAACAATTGCTCTTCACCCACAATCCGATGGAATGGTCGAGAGGCATAATTGCACCATCAATAACTACCTTTCGATGTATGTCTCCGAAAACCAAAGA